GTTGGGGGTATTTAGAAATTTCAATAAAGACACTCCAAAGTACAGAGACTCATATGGCCATTTGTAAGGGCAGTACGGATCATGGGATTATAGTTATTTAGAAAAATGCCATTATGTTTAGGAGACAGAGATTTTTGAAGTAGCCATAGAAGAGTTGCCCTCCTTCCCTTCTTTTCCTTTCCTCCCCTCCCTCTGCCCCTGCCACCTATCCATCCTAATGGGTGTGAAAGGAAGGAAGGGAAGAAATATAGATAAGCAAATTGAGGCTTCCAAGGAGTTTAAGTAATATTCCAGGAATCAAAGATATAGGACAAACAAGAACCAACTTTAGAGGCTGGTGACTGGGTTAAAAATCATGTGTTCTTTTCTGCCAATACACATGGCATAGCAAATTCTCCAAATGGGCAACTTCCACAGCTACTTTAAAAATCCCTATCCCCAGGGTTTACTGCTATTGCTGATGAAGCACACTTTTAAAGAAGAAACTATCCATACGCATTAAGGCTTCTGACAAGAAAATTTTAGAGAACGTGGAAGGACACTAACTGCTTTAGTTCTCTCTGGAACTACACTACCCAGTCTGGTAACCACTGGCCACATGTGGTGTGAAATGTGGCTAGTCCAAACTGAGATGTGCTAGAATATAAAATACATGCCAGATTTCAAAGATTTAAAAAGAATGAAAAATACTTCATTATGAATCCTTATTATATTCATGAAATTATAATATTTGGGAATATTGGTTTAAAAGAAATATTAAAATTAATTTCACCTGTTTCATTTTACTTTTTTAATGTGGCCACTATAAAACTTTGTATTACATGTATGTTTCACTTTATGTATCTGTTAGGGCTGCTCTAGAACCTGTCTCCAAGAAACTGAAGACAGTATCATGTATAAGAAGCATTATACATACATACAAACTAACTAAGACCCACTAATCATTTTAGTGGATATGCCATTAACTTACGAATCTCAAATTATATACATACATACAAACTAACTAAGACCCACTAATCATTTTAGTGGATATGCCATTAACTTACAAATCTCAAATTATATTCATATTAAAAGAGATAAATATGGTTTCAAAATTAAGTCTTTAAGCTTCACCTAAAATTAAAATTTTTTAGCCAAAGTAACCTAGAAATGATCCTACAGTAAAGTGTTTACAGGTATCTAGTTGTTATCACCATATGAGATATTTTTAGTGTCTGCCAGCCTCACAACGTCTCTCCCAACCCTTTCTTCTATCTTCCCACCTTCCCCTCAGGGGTGAGCAGAGGCACACAGGCTTGCTCAACATGGCTCCACTCCCTGGCCACAGGTGACTGGATCAGAGATGGACATCTAATGTAAGCCACACCAGAGTCTTGGGGAATTTAGAATTGTGATGGAAAAAACAGGTTTTCCTATGACTGGAACTTGGCTGTAAAGCTGAGGGGTTATAGGAAGCCATCTTCCACCCACTGAGAAGCAGAGAAAGCTGGTTGGTAAGAAAGATGAATAAAAGCTTCGCAGAGAGAGGCAGCGATAAACAGAAAGGGCACTCAGGATTCCTGTCGGACTTCCTTCCAATCCTTGGGACCAGCTCTTCCTGAAGCCTAGCTGTGTTCTGATCTTCGATTCTGAGATACCCCCGTCTTTTCATCACATAAGTCCTTCTTTCTGGCATATACTAAATCAAATTGATTTCTGTTAATAACCAAAAGACTTCTAATTAATACATCACTGTGGTCAGATTTAATAATATACATTAGTAGTTGGCAAGAAAGGGAACTATGAATTACTCAGTTTATTGGTTACTCAGGCAAAAAAAAAAGCATAAAATGCAAAAGATTGTAAAGAGCTTTATGAGGTTAATAACTAAACCACATGCATAAAATCTGTTTCAATGGTGCTTCTACTTTCTTCAGTCAATAACGCTCTCTTAAAACTGGTTGGGACCAAGAGCTTCAATTATATACACGTGGCTATAACCTTCAAAAGCTCCTGAATTTGTTTAACAAATACTGCCTGGGTGCCCAGGACATGCTGGGCTATGTGAAGGATGCTGCCTCTGTCTCCAGACTATGTGGAGGAATGGAGAAGCAGACTACTCAGTGCAGGGGAAGTACGAAGATCAAACCCAGACCTGTGCATGAGCTCACAGGAGGTACATCCAATCTACCCTAGGAAGAGTCAAGGAAGGCATCTTGGAGGAAGTAACTGTCTGTCCCGAAGGAACAAGAGAAATCAGTTAAGCAGACAAAAGGGGAAGGCTTTACAGACACAAGGAATAGTGTATGCATAGGCATGGCAGTCACAGAGAGCCCGGCACTTTCTGAGAACAGAGGTTAATCAACAATGGGGAATGGCAAACTACAAGCCTGGAGAAATATACTAAAAGGCTGGAGTACGGAGTTCAGTTTCTCACCTTGTTCTCAACAGAAAAGTACTAGGGATTCCCGAAACAAAAATCGAAACAGAGTTCTGATTTATTTTTAACACAATATTAGTCTTAAAAAAAAAAAGATTAACTTTTTTAATGTTAATATAAGTTGCATGTATTAGTGAGGTTGGTTTGGACATCACCTCTTCCAGGGAACCTTCTCTAATCACCTGAGATTAGGTAAGATGCCTAGTCTCTGCCCCAAAAGCCCCAGTCATAAAACTGAGCACACACTAGCAAGATCACCCAATTATTTGTCTCTGCCCCGTCCCCGATTGTGAGCTCCTTGTCCATCACAGGATTCTCAGCCTGGTACAAAGCAGACACTTAAAAAGTGCACTGAATGAATGAATGCCTTTGTCAGACACTTCATTACCTGATTACCTGTGGACAGAATTCATTACTTCCCCTTGTTCAAGAAACACTTCATTCTCTCCAGCCCTCAAGGCAATCTCTTACCCCAAGTTTAAAATATTTTTATTAAAATATTTTTAAAGACACATGTGTTTCCAAATGAAAAATAATATATCTTTTTGAAGCAGTCTGATTTGTCATTCAAGGATGAAGAGAGACCAGGAAAAGTTGGGAATTGTCCCAACTTTCTTACAAATCTCCCTCTTGTGGTAAGCCAGCCAGCACCTGCCATCTGTGATTAGGCCCATCAGGCCTGGGTCCCCTATACATGGCCAGGAACTGAGACAGCACCACTGCCAATGCCCCCTTAACAATCACCATTTCGGGTCAGAAGAACGTGGGGTGCCCAGAGTATAAACTCCATGAGAACAGGGAAAACATCTCATTTACCCATGCATCCCCCACCAAACACTTGGTAATTACCTATCACACAAAGGATTCGCAGAGCTGTTTGTCGCAGGGTTCCTGCAATTTCTGCACTCTGAAGCATTATTTCAACAAAAAAATCAGCCAGGCACACCCAATGCCACAAGCAACATACCGATTGTTATAACAGAATTCCTTTCCTCCCACCCCTCCATCCTCCAATTTTTCTAAACTTCTTGGAACGTTTTAAGGATCTTCTTTCCCATTTGTTTGATTCAGAGTTAAAATGAGGTGGCAACCAATTGGGATGGTTGGTAACTTGCTGCATGTTACAGGCATCGATGCGCAGCACTGTTTTAGTTAAACAAATGAGCTCAGATGTTCTGGCAGCAGGCAACTAACAAATCATCATTTACAGTAAATAAAACTAAAATGGTACTGCAGAATATGCCAATGTTTCCAAGACAATTACAATTAGAAACCAAATGGTGTACTGAAGGCAGATCTGGGGCACTGGAAGCATGAAAATAGGGGGTAAAAAGGCCGTGGTCAAATATTCATATGAATACAGATTAAATAAACTAATACCACTCAGAGTACTTTAAACTTACTGTAAGTAAACTCCACAATTCCAGGTCAATTTGAAAAATGTCAATAATGGGAGATTAGGGATAAATAATTAAAACTAGTAATTTCTTAACCAAACTTTTGCTAAATGAACTAAATCTAGATAACGGTGTGGCTCTGTCTGAAATAATCCTTGGATGTGACAGCTTTATCAGGCTCCTCCTTCTTGGGGCTTGGCCACTATCATTCCAGCAGCAACATAAATACATAGAGTCACAGAACAAGAGCTTCAGTTTTGCTGGTGACACCCCAATGAATAAGGAGACCTACAGGACTGGAGAGCTATGCCCATGAATCACACGCACATACACCACAAGAAAATCTGAAACTGGTCTGGGGCTTTTCCCACAGTTTTAAGAATCTTCAAAGGGCTTCCCTGAAGGTAATTCAGCAAGGAAGGGATTATTAAAATTTTCACAACTATAGAGAAGTTTTTAAACATTACCACTGCCATTTCTGGGCTATATTTTAAGTCTGTTCCCTCCCTTACTTTGATTTCATGAAGAGAATCTCCCTAAGAAGAGATCTGTCATCAGTATCAACCACAACTTTGCATGCTCCACACGCTTCTATAAGAGCTTTCTCGACAAAATTCCCCAATGAATACCGATAACACAGTTAAATTATTTCTCTAAGTTATATCTCAAATAATCAATATAAGCTATGCCCTCTCTGACAAGTGCACCAACAAACATCATGACAAAGTTAAGTAACGGGGAAGTGTAGGTAGCAGAGAAGACTGGCAAGGTAAAATAGAGCAAAAGAGTGAAGAACCTTAACATCATGTTAAGGAGTTTGGATTTTATCTTACATAAAACGGGAAGCCACTAAGCACAGAATCAAAAACACATTCTAATAAGCTTTTGCAGTAACAGCAAGGTGCCCCAGG